GTTTTTGTCTTGTTCAGAGTTTGTTTCAGTTAGTTCCTAGCTTTGAGGGATTAGAGAGAAAGTAGCAGATTTGAGCCGCATCTACTTATAGAACCCCAGCAGAGTCATTTCTAATCAGAGCAGAGTTAAGCTCAATCCACTAAAGGGTCACTAAGAGCCTCCTTGTGAGGGAAAGTACACCATCACCAATTAGCCTATCAACCAAACCAATTAGCCATATCACCGATATATACTCTTTTTAACCTTAAAAAATAAACAGCTTTATTAAAAGAAAATGTGAATGCCAATACTATAAACTTTCAGAATTTTAACATCTTGTTTTAGTGGTCAGGAAATTACAGAAAGATTACCCAAGCATGACATGATGGAAGTAATATGTGAAAAAATAATGCAATCCAATTGTGTGCAGTTCATGAAGGGCGGGCCTGGTGCAAGCGGTAGAGTCTTACCGCCTGTGACCGGAAGGTCCCGGGTTCGCGGTCTCCTCGCATTGCACAGGTGAGGGTAAGGCTTGCCACTGACACCCTTCCCCAGACCCTGCACAGAGCGGGAGCTCTCTGCACTGGGTACACCCTTAATTGTGTGCAGTTCACACATTGAACAATGTAACTCAAAATTTCTCTGCACATCCTTCAGACAATATTAAAACACATCAGATCAATAGCCTACAGAGATAACATCTCTAAAGAGGAGCTAACTCAAGATGTGGTGGACAAGTTGTGGAAAGGAAATATCCTTCTCAAGGAGATAATTCCCTTTTTCTTACAGTGGGAGATAAATATTTAGGGGACAGCTATCGGTTTTCAGGTACCAAGTTATGGTGAAAATTGAGAAAAAAATATGTTGTATATGAAACTACCCTTTGAATCATCGTTATTAAGCTAGACGGGACTAGAATATGCATTAATAGATACTACCGGTGTCCCTGATCATTTCAGCAGTGATTCTGACAGTCTCAAATTCTTGGAAAACAGTGCCAACCAAACATGCCCTAGTTCCAAAGAGGCATAGGTGAAACAGTGAAAGTTTGTTTTCATCAATACAAAATTGCTGTAACAGATTATTTGGTCCTAAAAAATTTCGTTTCATGGTCCCATCCTAACAAAATCTTTACGTAACAGATTCGCTAAAGACACAATTTCTTGAATTGCACCCTGCCTGTTATGGTTTGTTTTATGGATCAGGTTACATTTCCTATTAAAAGAAGCATATCTTTGTGAGGATGCCAGAGATATTTTTCGTGAACTGAAAAGGATGTTAGAATATCATTATGCACAATAGTTGCGGACTTCTGGTTCCAGATTGTCTGCTATCTTGTTAGCTATGAGTCCATTTCGGCTAACATTCTAACAGACTCAGCCCTACCGTGGCCATTACATCCTTCAGCCTATCTAAGCAGAAAATAGCAACATCCAAGAGATAAAAGGCACAAGCATTATCATCTCCAAATGAGAACGGCACTAGATAGGGAAATTTTTACGGCAGTCCTATTTTAGGCTGTCATCCATTATCGACAGGATTCATCCAAGCTCGTGAGAGTGTGACATTGAGCTGGTAAAATCCAACCATTTCCATTCGAACAACCAAGAGCACATGCTCTCACGAACAAAGAACGAAGAATGGAAGGGGGGTGGCTGGAGAGAATAGATGGCAGAGGCAAGAACCCACCTTGTCGGCGTCGATCTTGTCGAACTTCTTGACCAGGTTGACGACGCGCGTCCTGATGTCCCTCTCGGAGTCGGAGCTGCTTCCCTTACTGTCCTCCTGGCCCGCCGGCGCGCTCATCCCCCGAGCGAACCCGTACAGCGCCGGCCTCCCGCTGCCTCCACGTGCAGCAATGGCAGGCGCCGCGCGGAGGCGGAGGTGCTGCAGCACCACACTTCGTACCGTCTGCATGTCGCGCTCCTTCGCTAGGTGGACCGAGACCGAGAGCGACGACGAAGGAACGGTGGAGGTCAGGTGACTGAGCTGAGCAAGAAGAATTTGGAAGCTGCGGGCTGCGTCAGCGGAAGGCAGGGCGGCGGCTCCGGATTCTCCCGTGCGGGTGCGGCTGGCGTTGCGGTGGGGAATGCCTGGGTGCCGGTGGTGACGCCAGCAGCAGGCCGGGCTGGGTTTCGCCGGTTTGGGCCTTCTTGGAGAAATTGTTATTTTGGGCCTACTTTTGGATTCCCCGCTTCAGAAGCTCAACGCTTTGGGCCTCATCTGAGATATCGTCGAATTCGAAAGAGGCATGTTGTAGAGGCACGCTTCTGCTAAAAAAAAAATGTTGTAGAGACACGCCGGAAGCCCGGAAGCCGTAAATCCGCAATGGTACCTAATTTTTTACTATTTGACTCTTTTTTTAATAAAATTTACATTTACCTCTGAGACTTAAACTTATTTTTGAACCCTTGGGTTGACGCCATGAGTCCTAGCGTCAAGGTAACACGTCTCGGCGCCACGGATCTTGACGTCGAGGTATCTGACCGTACACAGAAGAAAATCATAAGTGGCCGATACCTCGACGGGCGCCGAGCTCGAGCCATTGGCGCGTTGACGGCACGCGCGACGAGGCGGACAAGGCTGGCGCCTGCTGAGTTGATGCGCGCCTGCTGCTCACTGCTTTTGCTGCTGCTGCTCACTGCGCTGAGTTGATGCGCGTCTGCCGCTCACTGCTTTCCTTCACGAAGTACGAGATGAATCTGAGGCTGGCCGCATCCACTCGCAGGAAGCAGCAGTAGTAAAAGCAGTGAGCACAGCGCAGTGAGCAGCAGCAGCAAAAGCAGTGAGCGGCAGACGCGCATCAACTCAGCGCAGTGAGCAGCAGCAGCAAAAGCGTAGTGAGCAGTGAGCGGCAAACACAAACACGAGGTTGTGGTGGATTTTTGTTTTCCTCCAAAACGTACGGGTGTAGGAAACTTTCCTACTGAAAGGAATAAAGCAATCCTTTGTTCCAAATATTGCTACAGGACTCAGAAGTATAGGAAAGCTGATTCCTTTGATACTCCTTTGAAAATCCTATGATCCAGACACACCCTGAATAAACGGCGGTGCATGGTTTAGGGCATGCCTGGCCGCATGGGGCGGGCGACGTCGTGTCGTCTCCCCCCAGCGCTACAAATTTTTAAGCGTACCTGCGTTAACAAGTGCCGGGCGGCCCATGTTTCTGTACGTCGTCACAGATGGCACCGTGCCCATGTTTCTGTACGTACGTATATGAACAAGCTAAGTGCTCTCTGTTTAATTTGTTGATTGCTGCAAGAGCTAGCAGTACTATTTGTTTCGCTAATGTGTAGTTTTTTTATTTATTTCTGGTCCAGTTCCACGTATTAGATCAACAAAGTACAGTAAAAAGGTCGTAAATAAACGTCTATAGAGACGTGTCACGGTTTGTTCTTTGTTGTATGACGACTGAACTAAACGGGCTTTCTAATATATCTACAAAAAATGAAAATATCACGGATGAGTAGGTGTATGTTGGTATATAGAGTGTATATATGTTTTCTTTGCCCTGGCTGTGGCACCATGCATTGCCCTGAACGCTGGACATCTCCAATACGAACTGGAGTGGAGTATAGTAATCTAGAGCTTTACAAATCACAGCGCAGTGAGCAGCAGCAGCAAAAGCAGTGAGCAGCAGGCGCCAGCCTTGTCCGCCTCATCGCGCGCGCCGTCAACGCGCCAGTGGCTCGAACTCGGCGTCAAGATCTGTGGCGCCGAGCTCGGCGCCATGTGTTCTGACGCCGAGGTGTCAGCCACGTAGGATTTTCGTCTGTGCACGGCCAGGCACCTCGGCGCCAAGATCTGTGGCGCCGAGACGTGTTACCTCGGCGACAGGACTCGTGGCGTCGACCCCCAGGGTCCAAAGATGAGTTTAAGTCTCTCAGGGGACCAAATGTTAATTTTATTAAAAAAGAGTCAAATAATAAAAAAATTAGGGCACTACTGCTAGTAGGTTTCGTCAATAGAAGTCATTTTCCAACACAACATGTATATAAATGTTCTATAATCTTTGTCTAGTTATGATAAAATTATTACTTGAAAATGCTACTTTTTTGGTGTGCGGACGCACACCTTACCCCCGCCCGGCCCGCCTCGGCCGCGCGCCCTCTCTCTCTCTCTCTCTCTCTCTCTCTCTCTCTCTCTCTCTCTCTCACTCCAGCTTCAGTCTCTCTCTCTCGGGCGACCATGCGGCGGCGCGACGAATCCGCGCCTGGCGATCTCCAGCGCCCCGCGCCCGCGTCCCACCGCCTCCTCGCGTCCGCATCGTCTCCCCCGCACGTGGCCAAGGCGGATGCGGCGGCGGCGCCACTGGATCCAGCGACAGGTAGGCCTCCTCCTCATGGATCTGCTATGTAGGGTTTCGGCGGGCTCTCCACTTCTTTTCCCCAACTCTGGCGGGCTTAGAAAGGGAAGGAGGTTTGGGGAGGCAGGTAGGCCAGACGGTGGGGATGGTCGATGGGCGGCTTAGGGAGTGGCGGCGGCGAAGCGATCGAGCCAGGTTGGCGGGGAGGCTCACCGAGCTGGAGAAAATGGCAAAGTTTGAGCGAGCCAAGAAATTTGGAGAAGATGACGGTGGTGGGGGGGGGAGGGGAAGAGGCGGCACATGCCATGGCGCTTAGGGTTCATCGAGCACCCGCGGCGGGGCGAGGGCGTCGCGAGTCGGCGAACCCTAGATCTATCCTGTTTTTTTTTTCCTTTTTTGGTAACCAAAATAGTTTCTTTCTCAAATTGGAGTGTGCCGCCGGAAATTGGATTTCATGCACGCGCACGCTCTAGTAAAGTCCAATTATTAAACACTACGTTTTTTATCCATGTAGATCTTTGTACTAGGTGCCACAGACCATTGCATAGCAAATCTAACCGTCCAAGAGATCGGACAAATTTAGTAGTACTACTGGTACTAGGTTTCATCAGTAGAAGGTCTCAGGCTCCCAGCTCTCAGAGACATCGACCCAGCCACCCAGGAACAAATGGCACAACGCGGTCCAGCAAGCCAAGGGCCATCAGGCGCTTCTTCATCAGTAGTAGGTGTGCTTCTTCTTGTTCGCCTTCCACCGCTTCACTATGTAGGCTACTGCCTCGCCCATTGGTGCTCTCTGGTCCTCCCTGAAGTTCCACAGCTCTGGTATGGGGTACCTGCCGCTTGGATTATACTCGTTCATCTCAAGGAGGGCCTTGACCACCACATCGTGTGCCTTCACACCCAGTTCAGCCTTCAAAGCTTGCAGCTTCTCATCACCCTCCATAATTATTTCCTGCACCATCGAGTGAGTGTTTAGACACTGCAAGCATGCTTCAACACAGGTTAGCTGAAATAATGAGCATTTCAAGCTAAAGTCAGCTTCAGCTTCTGAAGGGATTTACAAATTATTATTTTTTCTATTTCCTGCGGAACTTGTATTCAATTTCAGTGTAAGTGTCAAACAGAAGTGGTCTCACACCACGTTCTTGGAAAAGTAAAATGCTGTAATGCTAATTGTAGGAAGTACTAATGTTGACAAGTTGGATGCCAGAAGCACAAAGAAAATGCTAAAAACACTGACTTGGCTACTATCTGGGCAATCTAAAAGTGACTCAATGCACACATGGTAAAAACTGAAAGTAAACTTATTTTGGATATAGCTCAGTTAAATTAAATCGAGAACAGATTAAACTACTGATTAAACAATAGTAATATAACAGACAAATATAACGCTGCTAGTTGGACATGAAACACTACTGCAGGAACTTTGCAACTGGATCCAGCAACACTAAGGAGAAGTTTCGTTTATTTTCTTCTTAGACCAATCAACTCCCTACTTCTTTGTATGGTTTAAACTTTGGTGATTTGGACACGCATCCTTTAAAGGATTAAAAAGTTGTTTAACTGCTCAGAAAGTGGAGAACTTTTTTTAAGCTGGGGCGAACTCTACGCACAAGCTAAATAAAAAACAGTGGCAGAGCCAGGGCTCACTGCTCGTAGATTTTGGCCGGCCGGCCTGACCCCCTAGGGGCTACTCTTGCTCGCTGTCGCTTTGCGGCAAGCGCGTGACCATGGGCTCGTTGCTAGCGTGTAGCGTGGCCAGCTACCCGGCCGCGCCGCCGCCGCCGCTGCTCTGTTGCTCTACTCGTGGGTTGCGCTCCGGCCTCTGGCGGGTGGTGGCCGGCCGCTGATGCAGCGGTGGGAGGCGGGTGCCGGGCGGGGGCGCGGCCGCGGGGGGCGGGGGGCGGCGAGCGATCGGCGCGGCGCCTCCAGCTCCTCGCCTAGGGCGTCTGGCGCGTCGTCAATTAAGAGATTGGGGAAAAATCCACCGGTTGCTGGGCTAAGGCTGTCTCCAACGGATGACGCGTATGGACACCAAAACACGAACGGTTAATTGGATCGGTGTCATTATAATTCTCGCGTTTCTTAGAAATACCATTACTATTTAACTTATTGTAAGAGTACCATTATAATTACACTGGAGTCTGAAAAATGTCATTATGTACACTTGCCGCGACGGTTGGCCCACATGCAGGTGTATACAGGGGTTACGTACATTAGTATGGACCGTGTTGCCCCCAGATTCTCAGTGCCGGTTTGACTGGATCGACTCAATCCATCCATTCCCCATCGCCTCCTCTTTCTCTCGCTCGAACCCTAGGCAGTCCGCCTCGAAGGCGACTGCGACCGGCGGCGGCTGCGACCGGCGGCGGCGGTAACCGCGACTACCGAGGGCAGCGGCGTGGACCGCGGCTGCTGCTGCTCCTTTCCCGCCCCATCTAATGAGTGGAGCCGACTGCGACCGGCGGCGGCGGCGACTACTGCTCGCGGCGACCGCGACTGCGACTACCGAGGGCGCCGACGTCGACCGCGGCTACTGCTGCTCCTTCCCCGCCCCATCTGCTGAGCGGAGATGGCATCCACAGCTGTCAGTTCAAATGCTGCAGCAATGGACGACAGCATACCGAGGTATTTTCGATCTGACATGACTCTTTCCCTCGACGAATAGGCTAGTTGTTAGGTTACCCTAGTTGTTACTGCAATTTGTTGTAGAACTCGTTGACTTGATCTGCTTACTTCCTGCTAGGACTGACCTCTTCTCGCTAGAGATTAAAGTCATGGTGTGGTTTGAAACACTCCAAGGCATGGTGTGGTTTGAAGGTTGCCCAACAACAGGTTCATGGGAAGTACTCAGAAAGTTTTCAGCTATTGTTCAATTGGAAAGCATAGATAGAAATGAGTTCTCCTGGAAGCATTGTAGAAATAGAGTTAGAACGGAAGAAGAAGTGCTTCAAGAGGATTTTTGTAGCCCTGAAGCCATGTATTGATGGCTTCTTAGCTGGTTGTAGGCCATTTATAGGTGTAGATGCGTCGAGCAGTTGGCATCAGCAACTTCTGTGGATGGGCACAACTGGTTATACCATGTGGCATATGGTGTTTTTGATTATGAAACATAAGACAATTAAAAGTGGTTCATGCAGCAGCTGCATAGAGCAGTGGGTTCACCTACAGGTTTAGTCATATGTACTGATGCTTGTAAAGGACTTGAGAAGGCTGTGGGTGCAGTGTTCCCTGAAGTGGAGTACAGAGAGTGTATGAGGCACATGTACAGCAACTTTACGAAGCACTATCAAGGAGATGTGTTTACTGACCACCTATACCCTGCTGCAAAGAGTTACATAGAAGGGTTGTTCAGGTGGCACATGCAGAAGATAGCAGATTTTGCCCTAGATGCCATTGACTTCCTTCAGCAATATCACAATTTGATATGGTACAGGTGTGGATTTTCAGAGCTAAGTAAATATGACTATTTGACCAATAATGTTTCTGAGAGTTTCAATACTCAGATAAAGAAGTTGAAAGGACTTCTGCTGCATGAACTTGTAGATGGGATTAGGGAACTCATAATGGAAAAGAGGTACTTAAGAAGGCAAATTGGTAAGGATATGCAGGATGGTATACTGCCCAATGTCATCAAAGACCTGAACAGTATAAGCAAAAACCTCAAAGTTGTGAAGGTTGCAAGAAGTGATGAAGGCATAGCTGAAGTAACACTTATAGATGACTGGAACAACCATAAGAGGCACATGGTTGACCTGCAAGGTCACTCCTGTTCATGTAGGGAGTGGCAAATCACAGGAAAACCATGCAAACATGCCCTGGCATGGATTCTTTCCAATAGAGGAATTAAAATAGCAGATTTTGTGCATGAGTACTACTATGTTGAGAGATTCAGGGCTGCATATGCTTCTAGAGTTGAGCCATTGCCAGACAGGTCACAGTGGCCACAGGTTGACCTAGGCTTCAAAGTTCTCCCTCCTCTGCTAGGTAGAGCTGCAGGTAGGCCGAGACTGGTGAGAATTAGAGGAAGCCTTGAGAAAAATGCTACCAAGAAGAAGGTTAGGTGTAAAAGGTGTGGAGATTTTGGGCACTTCTCTAAGACTTGCAAACAATCAGAGCTAGGTGAAGTTGGACTGAATTCAAAGGGAAAAAGGTAAAATGATTTGTATGTCTCTTTCCCATTCTTGTGACATTCCCTAGTTTTTGGTAATCATAGTGTGCATCTGTAGAAAAAGGCAACAGTTGAAAGATGATGATAGTGCTGGACCTTCACAAATGAAGAAGAAGAAGACAACACTTAAGAAGAAGGGTGCACCCAAGAAGAAGAAGAAAACTCCTAAGAAGAAGACACCTAAGAAAAAGAAGCAGCAAAAGAAAGCTGCTGCTCCAGCAGCTAGTGTTATGAGAAGCCTGAAGGACTTCTTAAACACCATGTGATTTGTTGTGATCACAAGAATGAAGGTTATGTATTGTAGGTCTTAAACTTTATGTATTGTAGGCCTTGAACTTGATGTCTTATAGGCCTTAAACACCATATGACAGTTTCTTTTGTCTCCTAAATGTTATGTATTGTAGGCCTTGAACTTGATGTATTGTAGGCTCTGAACTTGATGTATGCTAGGGCCTGAACTCGATGTCTGTTATGGTCAGCACTTGTCAAGTGTGTTTTCTACTTTTGCTTTCAAAGCAGGTTAATTAGATCATTCAATTGTGCAGCACCATTGCTAGTTGCTTTTGAGCTGCTTCTCTGTGTTTATCTGGAAGGTGCACCACTTGTCAACGATGACATTTGTGCTGCTTAGATTGTTGTGTGCCAGTTGATTAGTTAGCACCAATGAAACCAAAGCAATGACAATGGAGGCGATGCTGATTATCTTTTCCCTGAGAAAGCGCTTCTTCTGTGCTGCTGCTTCCTTGCTTCAATAAGATGATGCTGATGAACCTGGACAAGATTGTTGTAAGACAGGTTGCACTCCAACAGGCTCGAAAGGTCACTGAATGAGGAAGGAACTTGACCTTCAAGCTCATTGCTGTCCAAGTACAGGTACTGCAGCATGTGCAAATTCCCTGCTGCGTTGGTATCTCACTAGACAGCATGTTGTGACTGACATTTAGAGCAATATGAAGGGCAGCAAGCTGACCAAGCTCAACCGGGATCTGACCAGACAGACGGTTGCCTCCCATCTCCAGTTCTATGAGCCTTGAAAGGCCTCCAAAACTGATTTGAATGGTTCCATTCAGACTGTTGTCAGACAACTTGAGCAGCTCCAGGTTTCCTTTGCAAAAATCCCTAGCCAATGCTCAAAAATTGCCTTCACTTATATGTTGCCAACAATTGAATCATTACAAATTCACAGATTCACATTGACAGATTCATCACAATTTCACATATAAATCCACTTGTTCGTTTCACAAATTCACAGATTCACAAATTCACAGAACCTACATAAACATACATTCCTTGATCACAGATACAGTTCCATAAACAGAAATTAGTAGTAGCACTTGACAACCTACAGGCTAAGATCACTAAACTCCAAACTACTGGAACCAAGATGCATACTACTTCATTTTCAAACTGCTGCAACTAAGAGGCTTACAAACAGATTTAGCATCACCACAGCAACTAATGCATTGCCTAAGTTAAAAGCCTTGTTCAATCCTCCATTCTTCAATTCTTTCATCTCCTACTCCAACTTTAAAATGTCAACCTTCAAGTCAATGATCTGAACCTTCAAGTCCATCATCCCAATCTTGGGCACTTCTTGTGACATTCCTTGAACCGCAGGATCAACAAAAGGGCCCTGTACACCTTTCACTTCCACATCCCTGAGCTTGTCTGGATGATTGGCGCGCAGATAGGCCAGGCATTGATCCTCAAACCAATAGTTCGCACAAGTGTCATCGTTCTGCAATTGACAATCAAAACCCCAACCCACTTAACACTATTTGCAGCTAGATGAACATGGAACCCAACATCAAAGGAAAAGTAAGACAAATTACCAGAAAATTGTTGGGGCAAGTGTAATACATATTGCCAGCCTTGCTCTTTCGCCTAATGACCTGGATCTTGCATTTGGGGCAATCGATCAGTGGGAGACCACCAACCTGGCTAGCACTTGAACTGGCAGTTGTGGATGCCATCTCCGCTCAGCAGATGGGGCGGGGAAGGAGCAGCAGTAGCCGCGGTCGACGTCGGCGCCCTCGGTAGTCGCGGTCGCCGCCGCCACGAGCAGTAGTCGCCGCCGCTCAGCAGATGGGGCGGGGAAGGAGCAGCAGTAGCCGTGGTCCACGCCGCCGCCCTTGGTAGTCGCGGTCGTCGCCGGTCACAGTCGCCTCCGAGGCGGACTGCCTAGGGTTTGAGCGAGAGAGAGAGGAGGCGGTGGGGAATGGATGGATTGAGTCGATTGAGTCGATCCAGTCAAACCGGCGTTGAGAATCTGGGGGCAACACGGTCCATACGAATGTACGTAACCCCTGTATACACCTGCATGTGAGCCAACCGTCGCGGCAAGTGTACATAATGGCATTTTTCAGACTCCAGTGTAATTATAATGGTACTCTTACAATAAGCTGAATAGTAATGGTATTTCTAAGAAACGCGAGAATTATAATGGCACCAATCCAATTAACCCAAACACAAAATGCGTCCTGAGGCAGCTCAGAGTACCTGTACGCGAGACTTATTTTAAGTTGCAGCAGGGGCATTTTAAGTTCCAGCAGGGGCATAAACCAAATATGAGTATCTTCTCCCTTGGATTTGTAGAAAGGATTCTCTTTTAGATTCTGTCGTTGAAGAAAATAAAAAAAAGATATTGAATACTTTCCCTGTAGCATTTCCTAACGTGAAATGAGTTTTGTATTTTGGGTGATATTATCGGGGACAGTCAGGAAGGAGGAATCTACGATGGTGGGCTTTGATGGGCCTCTCACCCTGCTAAATAAACTCAAGGAAAAAAGCCCATATCCCGTGGTTTCTTCTTCTTCGATGCTCCAGCGCCGCTGTCGCTCTGCTCGGCTGCTCGCTACGTACTCCTCGCCGCCGAGGACCGGGGTTAGGGAAGAAGCGGGGGGTCTGGAGCGAGCTCGCCGGTAGCTGGGGCGGCCGCCCCGCCCCGCCCCTAGGGTGGCTCACTTGTAACTAGATCAGACGCGAGTGCAAAGAGTAAGTTAAGTTAGGGACTTAGGGTTTGGGGATCGGTTTCGCACAGCAGGAAAGGGAAGACGAAGGGGTGGGCGGACCTGGTGGTGGTCCTCGCCGGCGAAGGGCCCGAAGAAACCTGTGAGTAGGGCGGCAGCGACCTGGACACCTGGCGTAGTCGTCGCCGAGAGGGAGGAGCAGAGAGACCGCGCATGCTGGGGCCTGTAGTCATTGTTTATTTTCGTTGTTGTACAAGGTTGAGCTTAGGCCTTGTTTAGATTGGGGTTAGGAATTAGTATTTGGCACTGTAGCACTTTCGTTTGTATTTGACAATTATTGTCCAATTATGGCCTAACTAGGCTCAAAAGATTCGTCTCGTAATTTACAATCAAACTGTGTAATTAGTTATTTTTTATCTACATTTAATACTCCATGCATGTGTCCAAAGATTTGATGTGATGGAGAGAGAGTGAAAAAACTTGCAATCTAAATAAGGCCCTGATTGGATTGGAAAATAAATGAGCGTGGCCCCACTTGCTAAATAAAAATACTCCCAACCAAACTTTCATGACGTTTTTTCTCTTCAGATTCCTCCCCTCCCTCTCTCTCGGCGGAAACCGACGAACGTGACGGACGGAGTTGGGCCTGCCATGCCCTGACCTGCAGCCTGTTCGGGAGGCCGTATTGTATCGTGGATTATTTATTGCTGGCTGGTTTGGTGTGAGAGAAAAACACTGTTTCTGGCTGGAAATTTACGATCATTTACGAGCAAGCGAACAGGCTGCCCGCCGTGCTAGCAGGCTATGGAGATGTCAGATGTGGCTGATCCCACGCACTGGCCTTGGACGATGCCTTTCTTCGTCTCCGTCTTGCTCAACCGTGATACGCTGCCGCCGTTCCGGTGCGCCGTCGTACCTCGTACGTGACTCTTGTGTAACAGAAACCCAATGAACGCGACGGATGTGTCGGGCCAACTGTGCTCGACGTGCCGGCAGCCGATCCCGCTGCGTCAGACGCGTGGAAACAAGGACGTGGAGAGCCACTGGAGCCGAGCCGAGCCGAGCCCGCACGCGACTGAGAACGATTAGCCGCTGAGAGCGAGAGGGTCCAAACCAGTGGCCATTGGATCAATCGCATGCGTCCAACGAATTTTAATCTAGTAGACGTCACGCCCGGCTCCCAGCGCTGACGCCTTTGGCAACTCCACCGTCCTCCGGCAACCGAGAGGTCCGGGCGGCAGCACAGGACCGGTAAGCGGAGGGCCGGTGCGCATCCATCTTCAATCTACGGGGAGAATAGACAGTTCCTGCCGGGAAACGGATTTCCTACGTCGAGCGAGGTTGCTACAGGAGTCCCCAACCAAAATCCTGTACCAGGTATATTCGGTACCACCGAGGCACCGAGCCAGGATGGTCTGGATCTGAGAAACCCATCCAATGACGAGGAAATCATATGAACGACCATCATTTTTTCCAACATAAAGATAAATCCATTCTCTTGTCACGCACACGGTATTTAACACCCACAAGCAACGCTGATAGGAACTGTAAATTTAACACGGGTACAGGTACTACAAAACTGGCTCTGGTGCAAACAGGGTAGGCTAATGAGGAGGGATTGCAAGGTCAGCAAATGACATTTTCAGTTCTTTCAGCGCTTGCCACCACCACCGCCCAGCTTGGGGCCCTTGGAACCCTTCTGTACCGCGCCCTTCGACTGCGCCTTCTGGGACTTGGTCACCTCCGCCTTCTTTGCCTTCTTCTCATCCTTGGTCTTCTTGATGCGCTCCTTGATCTCGCTGCAAGGTCAGTGACAGTTCAAATGAGTCCAGAGGTATTGAGCATCAGCATCTATCGCATTTCTGTTAAATATCACTTGAGAGGATTTTATTGCTTATACCAACAAACAGTTACCACTGTCATAGGCATAAATGGTGGCTATATTATATACAGCCGACAAACATACCGAAGAGCAGCTTCCCTAGCAGCATCGCGAACCTCAGGCTTCTCGGCTCTCTTCTTCTGGATCACTTCCAGGGAAGCACCCACAATTGACCTGGAGTAGGGCTTCTTGGTGGTGCGGCGCCTCTTCTTGACAGCTTCAGCATGGATATCCTACAGGCAGAAATGGCAAATTACATGCAAGAGGATCTTGACTTCTAGCAACATTATGAGCATGGCAGAAATAATTGTTGTTGCAAAAGTTAGTCCGATGCCGTGCATCAAATAGATTGATACAAAGACAACGATTAAGGATAATACTACAAAGGATGCAAAAATCACATGATTCAGAAGACAGCTAACTATATTACCTAACATTAACTGTACATTAACACTGGTAGGTAAGCTAGTTAATGTTATATATCAGTGCTGCGTATAAGTACAGAAGTTAACATATCAATCATAATCCAGAATGGCAAGAAATTGTACAAAGCCAAGGTTTATTGGAATCCTGGTCCTAGTTTAATAAGACTTGAAAAAATCACTAAAATCCTTTCATTCAAAAAAAATTTAAAATCAACAACAACTATCAAACTTTGAGCATATCATCCCGGCTCAACCCAGAAGGTTGAAATATTTAGCTAGTACAAGAAAGCAGTAACTAATCTATAACCAAAAAACATGGAATCATATGAGAAATAAATGACTGGGTAATATCACATACCTTCTTGTGCTGCTTCCTGTACATTGCTGTCCAGGTAAGCTTTGCAGGCTTCAGACGGTTGTGGAAGTAGCGCTTGCATTTTGAGTTGGCAAACAGGAAAACCTGAACAGATGTAATCCCTTTCCATAAGAACATTTTATATAAGTTTAGAAATCTCTTACAAAAATATAACAGCTAGTAACCTGAGAATCAGCACGAATAAATCGGATGCCCTTCCCAGGATAAATCTTCTGACCGCTGAAGCGGCAAAGTTCCGTCCTACAAGGAGATGATTGTACTTACAATAATTTCAAGATCCGTAACTCTTACTAAAACATTAGTTCGACAGTCATTATTAATCAATCACAGAAAATATCCTAATCATGCAGAAAAAAGGCATTGACTAACCAGACCTATTAACATATTTCAATTGCAATAAAAGTATAAACTTACTTCAGCACCATCTTCTCAGCTTCAAGAAACCTTCACCAACAACTACATATTTTACACAAAACAAAGAAAGATAATCAGAATTAATGATATGTACAATGGACAATGCAACAATGCAAGTACAAAACCTGAGAAATCAGTAATGATGTATTAACTATTAAGCAACAAGATAAGTTTTCAGCCACACAAATAACAGGATTTGACAGGCAGCATAAACCAGGTAAGGTTACAGCCACACAATTTGACGGGCAGCAGAAACACAACCAAAAGTATGTTCCTAAAGGGTTCTATCCTGGTGCATCTCACACATCAGTGAAATAGGCAACTATGCAATGCCTAAGGCCATAGCAACTGAGTGCAAGGGCTTTCAATTCGAAAGGGTGTCACAAACACCTAAAGGGCCAATGGAATTCAGAACTCAAACCATTTAGCTGTCGGGTGACTACTGGCAGCAGAAACACAGAACAAATCACTGCTGCAAAGCGGGTTCCCTGGTCCATATAGCACACACAAAAAGTTTGGCAACTACGCTATTGAAACAGCTATATCGCCACAGTACATGTGCCCTGATCCTTCCAGGGGAAAGGAAACAATCTGCTACAAGTGCAATAGAAACCAGATGACGATGTAACTATGAAGTACAACACCTGAAAAGAGGCTACTATCATGGTGCATGTCGCACATCAATGAAACTATGAAATGCCAAAAGCCATAACACCAGAGTGCTTGTGCTTTAGACTCAAAAGGATCTCCCAAACAGCTAAAGAACCAACAGCTTCAAATCTCTGCTGCAAAGAGGGTTCCCTGATCCATATAGCACGCATAAAAAAAAAAAGATAACTACGCGATTGCAACAGCTATAGCGCCTCAGACCCTCAGTGCGGTGCTTCGATCCGTCCCTAGGAAGGGAAAGCTAAAATCTCGAACACAAACAACTCAAAACTCAACTGAACGTACACCTCCCGATGCTTATCTACCTGCACGACAGTGACTACACTGAATCACCTACAGGTGCAACAAATAAAACCATGAAATGACCAAAACCAGATCACGGGAATGGAATTAGGGGCGGTTCTAGCGACAACCACACGAGATAAGGCGAGCGCAAGAGCTAGTCTAAGGCAGGAACGAAGGGAAGAAGGCTTCGACGGTTGCCACACCTACCGAGCGGAGGAGCGGAGCCGCAGGCGGCCGCGAGGCGACGGTGGCGGCGGCGGAGGAAGGAGGCGAGTGTGTTGGTGGCTCCGCTAGGGTTTCTTATATGGCCATCTTATATTAGTTAGCTCATGAGTGGGCTGGCTGACTGGGTTCTGAGAAGTGGCCGCTTTTGGGCCCAAAATCTCATTGTGGACTTTAGGCAATACAATCAACCCCGGCCCTTTAACAATGGTTTAAACTACCTTCCTACAGGTTTAGAAAGAGCTTTTTAGTCCTAGAAAAAATATCTTTTCCTTGTATGGTCTTTATTTTTTTGAACATACATGTATGGCCCTAAAACAAAATTTCCTTCCTTCTATGACCTTCCGTCAGTTTTGGGCACTTGACGATATTAAGTCAAGGGTAAAATGACCATTTTACCTCTGGCGAAAAAATGCAGACTTTACCGTAATATTACAGCATTAAAATGAGCTTATCAAATCTTGACAACTGTAAATCATCACAATTTGTCTAATGTACATTTACAGTATTATTACAGCATTAAAATGAGCTTATCAAAAGCATAAAAAATTGCACAAATGCATTGGTCTCACATAAATTTCAGTCTCACGTAAATTGTTCACAAATTCAAACACATAAATTGTTCACAAATTTATCATAGTTTCAATCTCACATAAATAAGGTCTCACATAAATAAGGTCACACAAAAGTGCGATTTTAAACATACATTGGTCTCACATACAACGAATTCAATATGCATATCACAAATCAAAGGTTGAGCCTTCCTTTGCTTCGTGTGCTCATGGCAGGGCTGCTAGGAAGTCATGTCTTGCTTCTTGTACCCATCGATGGGCTGTCAAGTGGCACCTTCGGAATGTCTACGCCTTTTTTCTTTGGAAGGCCTAGCTTCTTCTTGATGGGTTTCGGCTTCCTTTTACCTTGAGCAGGTCGATCCATCAGAAGTGCGAAATAACCATGTCCGCACATGAAGGTGCCTGCAGTTCAAAGATAGGGCAACCATTATGTTGAAAACCTTGCTGATATCTTGCATAATGGCAATGCCAAAAATCAAGTTTGACCCAAATTGAATATCAAATGTCCTGAAAAATGCAAGCTTCACCTCTGGTTTCACTCACCTGATGTGGGGCTGCTGTTTCTTGAGGGGAGCTCTCATTAATCTTAGAACCTGGTAAAAGATATTAGGGGCTATATAGTGTTCTAGCTTTCCAGATACTCCTTCAGATCCAGCATCAATGCACTATTCCAGTATATCTGAGAGGTGCTGCACTCAGGAAGTGTCGGAACACCTAGCTCAGATGAAACATCCTCGAGGACCTCCGCTAAATCTGAATCCCAAAGTCCTAACCTGCAGACCTTTCTGTACACTTCAAAACCTGCAGCTTTCAGACCTTCTGAGAAGAATCTATTTAGCGAGCGGCTAGTGAGGAAGCACTATAAATATATACATAACATTTTGATGCTCGTGTTACTAATTACCAATAACATACTCTACATTCTATTTCGTAAAGTATGAGGGAGACCGTAAGGCATGGTTTACTAAGAAACAAGATGTATGAATAATGTTAGCTGGAATTATACCTTGCCGTGGTATTTCTATTTCAATTGGCACACAGTACTGTCTTTGTAAGTAACTGAGAGCGGCTTGTATATTGTTCGCTTTTCTCAAAGGGCCAATTTGCCTCCACAGGTGGCTGATATCAACAACATTAGAGAAGACCATTTTTAGAGAACACATAAATTCATGCATGTTTGGCGGCAGAGGTGCAATGAATTTGGTGTGCAGCATTGTCATATCTGAGAAAGAAGAAAAAAAATGACATGTGAACATATCAAGAGGTTAACAAGCCATATAATTGTGCGAGTTCTTTATGTGTCAACCTACCATTCAAGCAATTGTACGATATGATTGGCTTCTGTGAAGATGATAGTAGATCAATAACTTCTCGAAATCCACGGAATTTAAAGTTTTGTTCATCTTCTAATTTCTGGATATCCATCTGCAAGTGAGTCGGAGGAAAATGGACTTTAAATAAGTTGTGGTTTTTTATATCTTATTGTTTTTATACATTGTACATAATGCTGTTGATTTCTAGAGAAGCAGAGATTCAAACCAGGACAAGATTCTTATCCTCTTTCGAATTAGTAAAGATCACATGCACAGACCTAGCCGTTGGAGGGGCCGCTTTGTAACACCCTAGGTGTTTGGCTTCCACGAAATTGCATGCCATTTCATAAACATATGCATCATCTATCTCATCATGCCATTGTCCCTGAAACATGCATATGCAACATTTGCAATTATATTTGTTTCATACTTGATTTCTTGTGAATGGTAGTAGTGCAACATGTGAATGCAACATGAGTTTCTTATACCTTGAAACATGGCAACATGGTAGTAATGTGACAAGTATAAAATAACAACAAAGTCATGAAACATGTGAAACATGAAATTGCAACATTTGAGTGAATTGCTTGTTTTGTTGCTTCATCACATGTGATCATTTGAAATGGGTATAGCATTTGTGTAAAGTGGTTGATTATGGTCTAATACACCTTAACTACACTTAGGGTAATTGTTTGGACACTGTTCATGTGGACCAAAATGACTAAATTGCCCTCAAGAGGAGGTTTGACTTGAATTGACCCTTAGAGTGCCACTGTTTGACTGAGTCAAAAGACCAACTTAGAGACTTTGCATGGCTGTGCACTCTTTACCAAAGTTGTAGCTAATTTATCAAGGAACAAAAGTTGTTTTATGATCAACTCATGAAAATGGCTAGAACATGCTCAAACATGGCCCACAAGTCAGAATTCCATGCTGATTTCACACTGAAAAATTTGTCTAAGTCATTGATGCCATTTTAGTTTGATTGAGCCACCTTTGGCTTGATACAACTCAGGATACAGGGTGAATTAGCTGTAGAGTTCTAAAACAAAGTTGTAGCCCTAATATAGCCCTGCAACTTTCATATACATTATTTTCACTAAATTGTCACGGTTTAAGAGATCCATCACGGTTAAGTTCGCATGTCAGTCATCGTCGTTGATCTCTGAATCTGAAATTTCAGAAAACGGTCTGAGCCCGTCGTGGCCAACCGGCGCAGGGGCTGCTCGCCGCGTGGTGCTCATGCTCTGCCGACGCCACCACGTCGCGCGTCCGCGCTCCAGAAGAAGGCCAGCGCCTGCCCGACGCACTCGCCAACTCCATTTGCTTCCCTCTCGTCTTCACCGCGCGCAGCGCCGAGCCACAGTCGTCCGCCATTGCCGGCCGAGCCTTCTTCCTCGCCTATCTCTCGCGTCTTTGCAAAAACGCGTTTCCTAGTTCACCCAGAGCCTCGCTGTGATCCCCTCTACCACCTCCACCGTTCAATCGAGTCAGTTGAGTCGTGGTAAGCGTGTATTCGTCGTTTCTTCCACCGCCGCCATGGCTGATCTCGTCGGAGCTGGCACTCCACATGGCCAACCACCACCGTAGCCTTACCGTCCCTTCTATCTCTTGCACTAGCTACTGTGAGCGCTGCTGAAGCTCGTAGGGTCACCATTTAGGGCTGCGACGCCGTAGCCTCGCCGGAACCGGCCGAGCCGTGGCCGAGCGTCGCCGTGGCCGTCACCACCCCCTCTTGCCATGGTGATAGCCAAAATTGATGGCACCGCTAAATGCGCATTGATGAGACGAGCACCGATGCACCGCTGACCTCACCGGAGGAGCCACCGGCGACGAGCTACGCCGTCGTCTTCCTCCGTTTCCCTGTCTGTCTCGCTGTCGCGCGGGTCCCGTTTGTCAGCCGCTGAGGCCAAGGCGGGAGCCAGCGTGGGCTGCGCCGGTGCGCGCTTCGCGGGCCGCTGTGTCCTTCGGGCCGGCCCAACAGTAGAGTAGGGTTTCAAATTTATTTTTGGTTTATTCTTTTCACAGATTTGTGTATAGATTCAAAAATATGTATCTCCTAGTTGGTAACTTCAAATGATGTGGTTCTAATTTTGCTAAGTTCATGATAATGTCTAGTTTATATTAAAAATATGATTTATGCCCTGTTCTGTTATGAAAATAGGAGTTTCTATTTATCTCTTTTAATCATGGAGGAATTAGGGATAATTATATCTTTTTCTATGTAGCTCCAAATGGCATGAAATTTTTATGGTGTACTGCTCATATCATGAATAGCTTATAGTTAAATTTTCATATATTTTGGACACTGTATGTAGGAGATATAAAATTCTCTTGTTTGCATGGATGGATTTGTGTGAATTTTCATAATTTTTCTATAGATCCAGTAAAGGTAAAATTTGGTGAGTGCTATTCTTATGCTAGAATGATGCTAGGAAAAATGTGAAATCTGTTGCTTGACACTTTTCATTAGGGTTTCCTAATTATGCTAAAAATAGACATGCCACCTGTTATTTTGGATACAGCAAGTTTTGCTTGCCCAATGGCTTTGAAATTTTTATGGTAGTCTATGTGAAGCATGAGATAGCTACTGTAATTTTTGTAGATTTTTCTGAACAGTTTTACTATATATTGCTTTAATCACCTAATTAACTAAAGAAATTAGAAATGGGCATTAAATAAATTGTTTAGGAGTTGGCACTAGACTTTCTGATGTTTCTTTGGTATGCAAAACATGTTGGTAAACTTGGTTTTGTCCAATTATGCTTTTGCATCATCAATAAATAATTAATTTAGTAACCCTGTCATTTCTGGATAGATTCTAGGTTTACTGGAATTCGATTTGGTTAACGTAAGAATCATGCTTTGATGTTTACAAATGATTTGTAGAGAATTTCATAAGCTTTCCAGAATGTCCTCATGCAAGTCATTTGGATTTGTAGAACTCTTGTTGTGATTGAATTAAGGAACTACCCGTGTGCATATGAAACTTTAACTGTTGTTTAAAGTATGCCTTTACTATTTCTAAGTTGTGGTAATATTCATAGGTGTTAGGCCTTTAACTGAAGATGAGCATCTTTATTTTAGGTTATGCAAGTTAGGTAAGTTGATCTTGTTCTTCAAGTTAAGTTAGATACTTGCTTTAAAGTGATTTGAATAGAGCTATTCTTAATCGGTAAACGAGTGTCCAGTGATGTTTTCGTTAAACACTTACTGTGATTCATTCATCATGAGCATCATGTCATTCCTTATGCATCCATGATATTTATCTTGTGCATCGACATGCAATAGGTGTATCGGAAGGAGTGACCTTGCTAGAATTCGAGGAACCGAGCGAGCAGCAACAGCCAACACCGGAGGTTCAGGAGGTGCAGCCTTCAGGAGAAGTGCCAGACGAGGTCGCCGTTGAGTGCCCGGATCACCGTCCGTGCAACTTTGTGAAAGGCAAGCCCCGAAGCATATTAAGCCTCCTAATTTTCGAAATATAGTTACAGTATTATCGTTACATATATGTATTGTTGCATTAAGTTTAGGTGTTGGATGCAAACACTTGCTCATTGGTTATCCAATCCTTGTCCAGATATTGATACCCTGAATCCTATGTAGCTCAGGCTCGTGTAGTGCTTAGCCCTGCTTAAACACGGTAGAAGTCAGGTGATTTCCTGTCACCTGCGAGATATAGGAAGAGACATATGGCACGGTTGGCTATATTTGCTATTGTGGAAAAGAACCAGTCTTAATGTGAAATGAAGACCGGACGGAGGCTTGCCGGTTTGCAGTGACTCCGTCTGTGTCGATTAAGGACTGAATCTTGGAGCCTTTCCTGTTCATGTTGAACGCATGCCTCTCTCTTAGTTGGTCGGGTCTGGAGACCGACCACGAAGCCGAGTAGCTCACCTCAGGCTGGGAGTCGATAAGTATAAAATGCGCCTCGGAAGGGAGCCATAGGCGTGAGTCCAAGGGCAGGTGATTTAAAAGTCCTGATCGTCCTAGCAGAAGGGTAATCCCTGAGAGTGCTGGCGCTGATCGAACCCGTGAATTTGGTTCCTGAGTTGTTTCAAAGGTGACCCACGGCTACCCTTGCTAAGTATGCCAGGGTGAGAGTTAGGAATACCCCCCTCAGCTAAGTTGTAATTCGATTCGAGTCGCTGTCAATCCCGGTTAGTGAGAACTTGACGGGCTTATCTCCAATGTAGATACACTAAATAACATAATGGTTCAGAAATGATGACAGCCTTATTATACCTGGTATGGTTAATATTGTTTGCTCCTAATAAGTGAGTGCTCTAGTACAGGTGCTAATCTAGTGGACAGGTAAATGATGATAAGCTTGATGCTAAGTTTAAATTGGTCACTATATTCATAAACTCTTTTATGCAACTGTGTCAAGCTAGCCCACCTCATAAGCCTTGCATGATCCTTGGTGTCTTTTATTTCTGATTTTGACGGGTAAGTCTAGCTGAGTACCTTCTCGTACTCAGGGTTTATCTCCCACCTGTTGTAGATGACCAGTTCTACTTTAGTTGCTGCAAGTATTGCCTTCTCCCGGCTGGGGATGAAGACTAGACCGTTGGGTGCGGTCTCTACTAGTTCTCATACCTGATGATGCTTTTGTGGGATATGACTCAGACTTGGCAATGTATTTGAAACTATGAAGTTATGTACTAAAATATGTTGCTTCCGCAAATTTGAACTTGGTTTGTAATATTTTATTTTGAACTCTGATGGATGTAATCCGAATGCTACTTGTGAAATGTTGTAACGAATGATGTGTTGTGTTGAATCACTACGGTCTTGGTTTGTATGTCGAGAGTTGTTTGAAATCCTTCGTGATTTCCGGACTACCGGGATTATGGGAGCTTAAGTACAGGAATTTGATCACTTCGGTGATTATTTTTGTACTTACGTTCTTATAATTTGGTCGGTTCTGTTACACCGCTCGCTGCTGACCGGTCATGGGAGGGGCTGCCTGGTGGCTCGCTGGGCTTGCCGTTGGAGGGGCCGGCCGCTCCGGACAGGACGTGGGAGGGGCCGCCTGATGGGGCGCCGGACCTGCCCCGGCCGCGCTCACGCTACCAGTCGGGCGGCGGCGCCTCCTCCACGCAGAGCTCG